TATAGGTAGTAAAGCTTCTGGAGTAAAATAGAGTCCCTAAGGAAAGGGGTACAGAGTAAGAAGAAGAAAATTCTAAAATAAAATTCTAGGAACATAAAAGTGAAGTAATAACTCCATTATAAGGATTTCTAGAGTTTTCTCTGGAAAATTCTGCCCTAACTCTGTAGTATGGATTTTCTGAATTGGTTCCAGAGTGTAACCATTAATAAGTCAGTTACTTTGGATCTTATGGGTGACCTGTTTTCCCTGGAACATGACCAGGAACTCAATTTAGGAACATATTTATAACTGTAGGAAAATCCTGTAGGCCCAAGAATGTCATGACTTCACAGTTCAGGGCTAACCGTTCGACTTTAAATTTCTACACTAGTGGATCGCCATGGGGATTTGTTAACTAGAATTCATAATAATATGAAAATAACCATTGAGCAGAAAATGACAAAAACAAAAAGAAAATAAAGGGAAATATTTGACTCTATAAAACATATCTAGAGAGTTCAGATTTAGATCCGTAAGTTAAATACCTAAACTGGTATTTAAGTGGTAGATCAGTTGCCTAGAATCCATGAGGCTCTGGGCTTCATCCTCAGCACTACAAAACAAACAAACAAAAATACATACCCCAACTATTTTTACCTGGTTCTATCACTTGGACAACTAAAAAATTAAATATGTTAATTTGTACATCTGTCCTATGGAGAATATTGTATGTAACTTTTATCTTTGCAGGGATTAAAAGTTGTACACATAAAATGTTACATTTTTAAGATGCCATGATTATATTTTTTTAAATTTGTCATTTTTTTAAAAAAATCGTGTTAATACATGAAAAAGAATATGAATAATTTTAATTTTTGTCATTTTTTACACATTTACATTTTACTTTTATGCACCTTTGGAAATTCCTTTTAAGAATCTGTTAAATAGTATAAAAACCATTTTTCTGATTTTTAAGTTTATTGTTCTTTCCATAGTTAGAGGTCACATATTTCTATTTCTTATTTGAGGTCAAGTAAGCTTGGTGAGGATATACACTCAAATACTTTTAATGTTAGCATAACTGGATTTATTGACCAAGAAAGCAATTTTTTTTCCATTTGTATGTAAACTGTAGTGAAAAGTAAAGTTTGACTGATGCTAGATATTATCATTTCAAAATTTATTTTCTCTTAATATGTTGAGCTTATCAGTGAAATTTGGTTTATGTTTGCTGGTTTTCCTTAAAACTTTACTTTCTTTGATTCAATACAATAAAAACAGAAAAGTTTGTTTGAATTGATTTCCAGAATAATCTATTAAGGATTTGAAAATGAATAAATCTCTTGGTAACTTGGAGTCTGGATTCATTTATTAGGCTCTTATGCTACCAGATGAATAGAATCTTTCACTTTTGATGAAGTGGAAGTGAAATGAGACTAAGTAATGGTGTGACCTTATACTATTATAGTACATTGTTCCAAGGAGACATTTAAAAGTGAATATCAGAGTCTGAATTTTTATTCTTTGACAAATTAAAGTGAAAATAGTAGCTCAATTGTTCTTCTTGATAGAATTTATAATAAAGAATTAAATTAATATAATAAGTTAATGGAAACATGTAAGGGTTATTACATCAAAGTACTTCCAATAGGACACAAATTAGCTAGTTCTCATTTACTGCTTTATCATAACCTTCAGAATAAAGGGAAACAAATCAATGTTGTAATTTAAGCGTTTAGTATTAGCATCACTAGGATGCATTCATCAAGTGCCCCCTGGGTACCCTACCCGTGGTATGTTTAAGTTTTGTCTTCAGGATTCTTTTTGAGATAATGTTTAATTATATTGCTCTGAGTTAGAGTCTCTTCTAAACTTGGTTAATGTGAATAATATTACACTACTTCAAACTGCTCTAAAATCTTTGTGTGTATGTGTGTGTGTGTGTGTGTGTTTACAATTTCTAGGGAAAATGGAGAAAATATTGATTTGTTTTTGTTATAAAATGAGTAGATTTTTTCCTTAGATTTTTAGAGTAAAGGAGACAATAATATATTCATGTAATGAAATATTATGCCCAACTTAATACTATACTTTAAAAGAAAATTAATGACATTAAAATGGGATCAAGTGACAAAAATAAAATATAAAACCCTACATAGGGTAAATTTGATCAGATTGTTAGGTAAGTAAATGTAGTATAGAATAACTCAAAATAAATTGCAATATGTTTGGGTAAAATTGTGATTTATTTTCTTTTTAACATTTTGTGTTTTTTTTTCAAAATTATAAACAGGTTATATTTTTTCAGTTTTACAAATAGTGAATATCAATAAAATATATAAAAAGTAAAGGCCAGGAGGAAACATTTTAAAAATAAGAATATGTATTGTTTAAAATTGTTTTTAAATCCCCAAAAAAGAAAATGCATGACAATATTTATATTTAAATCATTAGGATGTATTTGTCATGATCTCAGTAATGTTTGAAAATGAACTACTAAAGGTAAATGAGTCCAAGATGAACATGTACTATGCAGGATTTAGTATAGTTGATATAGTAGTCCCCTTTATCTACATTATTTTTCTGCAATTTCAGTAACCTATAGTCACCTCCCCTACCAAAAAAAAAATCACAAGAAAAATTTTGGAAATAATTTTTCATTTTTGATTGCATGCCATTCTGATTAGTGTGGTGAAAATCTCAAACCATCCTGCTGTGTCTCACCTGGGACATGAATCATCTCTTTGGCCATTGTGTCCACACTGTATATACTACCTGTCCATACATATATCTACAACCTTATAAAGTAGTTATTTTTGCTATCCCTATTTTACAGACAGGAAATCTGAAGTACAAAGGCAAATATTTTGCCCAAAGCGTGCAAACAGGAAGTGGCAGAATGTTAACACTCTGATTCCAAAGTTGGAGCCCTCAATTGGTTCACCAAGGTGCTTCTTAGAGATAAAATCAATGGGTTAGCTCAGCAGTAAAGTGCTTGCTTGTCCAGCCTGAGGGTGACTGTCAGTTTGATATCCAGCACCACAAAAAAAAAATAATAATAAAATAATATTAACAAGGAATAGGAGATGGATGGAAAATAAAAGGACAAGATAAATGCACAATCTGTTCTGCAGACTTTTATATAGTTGCTAACCGTGTGCACTAATTTGCCTCCAGCTCTAGCAGAGGATGAACTATAAGATTTATAACCACCACTTTGGTTTCCACTATGGAAACAATCCAGTTTTCAATCAGGTCACAGTTGAGTCTTGAAAGATACATTTCATATGCCTCTATTCCCAGAGGTGTGCCACTGTTGTTTTCATTTCATTCATTCCCCTTTTGTTGGTTTATACAATAACTATTTCTAGAGCACCTTTTATTTGTTAGGCTCTATGCTGATTATTTAGGGATAGAACAAACCATGATCCAGGACTTAAAGATAACCAAGGTCTTGGGTAAAACAACAGTGGTGGTGTCTTCCTTTGGCTTTTACCTGCTTCATTTTTTAGTGTGGAATGTGAAGAGAACACAATGTGGAACAAGGTCCTAATGGGAGACAAGACCCAAGGGAGGGTTAGAAAACACCTAAAGGAAGTCTTTGGGAAACATGTGGATTCGTGACTCAAATGCCTTTCTCTGTAATGTGCCCTGTGAGGTTGAGTCTTGGAAGAATTGGACTCTGAGTTTGGGAGGTTCTTTGGATTCCCTAGAAATCATTTGGCTATAGCAATACTGGTCAGGAGCGTGATAGGAGTGGCAAAGTCAGCAGGTTTCAACAACCCTTTGAATAGAGAGAGAGGGAGAGGGAATGTGTGTGTGTGTGTGTGTGTGTGTGTGTGTGTCAGAGAGAGAGGGAGAGGGAGAGGGAGAGAGAGAGATGGTGGCGGGGCGGGGAGGGATAGATAGAAACAGAAAAAGAGTCTTTTGTACATTTATATTTATTCTTTGGCTAAGATGACATCCCTGTCTGCGCTGCCTGGTTGAAGATCACTACTCTTTGTAAATAACCCTTAAGATCACATAGATATTTAAAAATTGCCTTTTCTTCTCTTTTCCCTATTTGGATTTATCTAATTGAGGGTGACTTTGTCATTTGGGCTGCTATAACAAAATGCCATAAAGTGGAAGGCTTATCAATAAGAAAATTTATTTCTCACAGTTCTGGAGATTAAAAAGTTCAAGGTTAAGGAGACTCAAATTCAGTTCCTGGTGAGGACTCACTTCCTAGAGCGCACCTTTTTCCTTCATCCTCACATGGTGGACAGGGTGAAGGAGTTCTCTGGGGCTTCTTTTAAGGCCACCAATCCCCTTTGTAAGAGCTCTATACTCAAAGTCTAATAACCTTCCAAAAGACCTGACCTCCTAATGCCAGTTGCTTTGGGGGTTAAGATTTTAACATAGGAACTTAGGGAGTAGTAACACAAGCACTCAGACCATAGTAAAGAAAAAGTAGTAAAAATTATTTGTCTCAGTGTCACAGGTGCTACCCAATAATCATGGCCCTGACTTCTGCAACCTTTAGCCCTGAGTCCCTGGAGGGAAGGATGTCTTACTTGGGCCTAAACATATGCATATGAGTGGCTTTGACTATCTGGAACTTCATCTTGTATCTCTAAATGAAAATCAAGAGTATGAATGTTGTTTATGCCTGTGTTCAGTGTTTTGAAATATATTGTGTCAGCTGCATAAACCATGAGACTAGCTAGCATCTGTGTTTTATTTTTAATTTGCAACAATAGACCTTATAGAGATCTTTTCTGGACTGCTTTTGATTAGAAAGAAGAGCAAACTCACTCAAAAGTGTGGATACTGCACTTGAATTATTGAACAAGTTCTAACCATTTAGTGGAGTTTAAAGGTCTTGGGTACTTTCACCCAGAGAGCTGCCCTTCACTCGCAATGCTAACAGTAATGATGTCTCAAAGGATATTCCATGGAATTTGGAAAGCTGTCAGATCTTAAGTTTCCTAAGGGATGGCAGGCGGCCCACTTACATTTTTCCTCTTCTTTCTCTTGCAGTCCCAGCAGAAGTGCATTGTGATCTTTGCCCTGGTCTGCTGCTTTGCCATTCTAGTTGCATTGATATTTTCAGCCGTGGACATCATGGGAGAGGATGAAGATGGACTCTCAGAAAAAAATTGTCAAAATAAATGTCGGTAAGAGGTAACAAACAAAAATTCTCTTTTAGGGAGTGGGCGAGAGAGTCAAGGAGGACCTTGGGTGGTAAAAAGAAAAGTATCATAAACACAAGTAATCATCTAACTTCCCCTTGGGTTAAACTGAAATATGACATGCCTTATAGAGGATCTTGCTTTTAGAGCAAGGCAATAAATAGCAGCAATGATTTTATTAACTTTTTAGTTTGGTCATATCCTATACAGAGTAATGGTCAACAAAATCAAATGTTGTAACTGTCTGCATACCTGGAGACATCATTGTGTGAAGTTTTGGTTTGTTCCCCAATGAGACTGGCAAAAAAAAAAAATGAGTGTCCCAGTGGACAAAAAACACTATGCTGGTTGTTCAAATGGATGATAACATGCACATCTCAGAAAAATTCCCAACTCAAGTTAGGGAACAAATAAGCATTGTCTACAAGAAGACAGGGGCCTCCTTGGTCTGCCCCAATTTAGCATAATTTGTTTTTAATCTAGAAATTACAACAGCTTTGCCAGCAGCTTTCTATTTGTGTACAGCATGCATTGTGTAATGATGTTTCTTTAGTCAAGGACGGACCAACATATAAGGCAGTGGCCCCATGAGATTATATTGCCTGTTGGCATTGCAGCCATATAAGTACACTCTATGGTTTTCATACAGTCACAGAATGCCCAATGGGCACATTCCTCAGAATGTATCCCCATCCTTAAGTGACACATGACATATTGTGTCTCTTTAGTTATATTAAATAGCATTTCCCTGGGGTCATTTCTGACTGGTAGAACCACCAATGGCCCAGTTTCAGCCCCATGCATCTCCTCTTTCAACTCTTTGAACTGCTACTTGTTTTGTTTTAGGATAGAGGAGGATGTAGAAAAAAATACCAAGAAGAGGTAGATAGATAAGAGCTCTATTTTTAAATATGTCTTGCTGCAAATTTGAACTGAGGCCACAAAATGACAGTAATTATGAATTAGAGCTTATAATGAATTTAAATTATGATTTTTCCCTGTGGAAAGCATGAGTCTAAGTGCCCATCTTTTCTAGCTCAAAATCAACAGCGACTTGATAATGCGTAGGTGAGTTTTTATCCTGGATATTTTGCCTTGAGGTTAAATATTCTGGCATAGAAAATGTCCTGATGAAACAATTGACTTTTTTTTTTTCAACCTATGATCTGTTATAATCTAGTTACCAGGCAACAAGTATTATACACAGAACAAAGCATACAAGAAAGAAATCAGCATGCATTTTGGATTTTATTCCTTCATGTTAGAAATGTGTTCCATAAATGCATTTATTTCCCAGACTGAATTTAGGAGAAAAAAAATGTATTGTTATTATTATAAGGAAAATAATGGAAAAACAGCAGATTGCTGTCATCTTCTGCTAATGCTACTTATTACATGTCAAATATAAACAATCCATAGTCAAAGGGCCAATGACTCATATTTATTGAGTAGAAACATTCGGCCTCTCTCTCTCTTACCTCACCTTATAATGAAGACTTCTGGGTTTTTAAAATGCAAACTCTAGCACCTAGAAAGCAATTTTATTGAGGTTAAACCATAAAACCTTCTTTCAGACAAAATATCTAGGAGTTTTTCAACCCTCATTCCCATGTATTAGTAGGTTACAATAAAAAGCAGAGAGCCTGAGAATTCTATTTCTTTTCACTTTGGGGAGACTATTGCTCGTTTGAATTTTTACTTTTAATTCATGCGACTGGAATTTGGGTTTGTTTATATCTTATATCAACAACTAAATTCTGATGTTTCAATGCTGCATCTTCCTCCGTCTAGAAATATTAGTCTAATTCCAACCATCCTCCTGCTTCGTTTCCTAGGAGTAGTTGAAATCACTATCATAGTTACTACATGTCACCCCTGTGTACAGCCAGTTTTTTGGAGCCACCTATTTTTAAATATGTTTTGCCTTCTACATTCTCTTTTCTGTGTCCTCTATTATGGTTCTGCATTTTAAGTCATTTTAGTAAGTGCTTCAGTGCTACAGTGTTTACACTGTAGATGAAATCTTGTGCCCTCCTAACTTCCTCCCTTAGAGACTTCTGCTTTTCTTCCCCTTTCCAATGCATAGGATTAGGAGGTAGGGTATCTATAATTTCTTATACCCCAAATCTGCTTACCACATCATTGTTGCATCATTTTTTCTGGGTCATTCTCATTTTAATTTGATGAAAAAGAATTCTTTTACAGTGTTCATCCCCACTTTATCATCTTAGGCAATATCATCTTCCAAATTTCAGGACTTTTTCTCATCTTCTTTTGTGTCTAACAGACCTCCCAACTGTCAGTCCCATCCCTCACCAACATCCTTAGTAACTTGAACATATACCACCCAATACCCTAACATTATCATTTTTAACCACCTTAAATCAATAAATGTAATGTCCACCTCGACTTTGCACCCACCTGCCAGCAAACCTCCACTTCCAAGTTAGGCTAATACAGTAAACGATAGGAACTTGGAAATCAGAAAGATCCAAATTCAAATCTGCATGTACCCACTTTCTATCTCTGTGAACTTGAGCAAGATATTAATTGAATTATTTCATTCATCACCTATTTGCAGAGCACCAAAAGACTGAACGAAGAGTCACAATACAGTTAATGAGACTGTCAGGTAATGTGCCTGTTCAAAACTACAACAGCGATGTAAGAAGAGGTCTGGGAGAATGTCTTGAATAGTGAAAATAATAAACTCATCCTTGGATTTATTTCTCTGTTCCACCTTGGATGGGTTACGAAGGCTATTTAAATTTTCCTTAAAAATGATATTTTTTAAAAAAATCTGTTTCACAAGGTTTAGGAGAATTCAGTGAACTTTAAGAAGCCATAGCAAAGCATTAGGTAATACAACAAACAATATAATAATGTTAAGTTTCTCCCCATTTCTTCCAAAGAGTCCAGAAATCCTTCTCCTATATTCCCAACTAACATCTCCTTCTTTGCAGTTTCCCACGTACCCTGAATCTTTATCTTGATTTTATTTTTTGGTTCTGTAGAAATATACAAGAAAAACCAACTACATGAAAACAGAGGGTATTTATTTAGAGCTTGCTGTTGCAAAGGATTCAGTCATCATCAATTGTGTTTTGCAGAGACTCAAAGGCAGGCAAAATTCCTAGAGGGAAGAAGGGACAAAAATGCTCTGATAGGAGGCTGTTTATATGGGAAAGCTGAAAGTGTCCAGCTGGAGGTGGAGCGTTTTGTGTTATTGGTTGGGAAAAGCATATTTGGTTTAGGTTTCTTTTGGTTGGAAGTAGGCATAAAAATTAGGAAATAGTAATTAGTAATCAAGTTCCTGACATTTTGATTCTTTTGTCATAGAAATTACTGTTTAGCTCCCTTGATTTTTACCTGAGATAGTGAACTGTCTGCAAGTCTGACATAGAGCAGGCTGACTTCCAGGCTGGTGAACAGAGATAAGGAGTTGGTTTCCTAGGCAAGTTGCTTCTGGGTGTGGGTCAGAGTTTTGTTTTTTGCATACGGTTTGGCCATTGTAGATGCATTCTTCACTTCCTGAACCTTCTCCTTGTACTAGGAGTCGTTTTCGTTTTAATTTTCTTTATCCATTTGCTAGACCACAATTAGCATACCCCAGTGCTTCCCACAGCATCTTGTCTAACTTGACCCTTTGGCTCTTTTGCTGTAGGCTTGCTGCCAGCTATTAAACTGATCCTATGCAACCTTGTCCTCTGAGCAGCCTTGGCTATTGCTCTACAGCTTTGTCAGCCTGCAGAGGAGTGAGTTTCACTGTTATTTAGCTCTCAGTTCTTCCAGAAGGGATACCTCTGATTAAAGTGATGAGGCTTGCAGAGATACACCCACTGAGTATACTGGGGCTGAGGTAGTCCCTTAGGAGAAAGCATTGCTGGTTTGTAGATGCTCGCCAGCCTGCCAGTCTCACTTGCACCATTTTGTACAAAATTCCAGTCCTTTTTCTCATTTCGGCATCCATTTCCTGCCTCTAACCTCCCAGAGTCCCCCCTAGACCTTATTTCAAGATGACACTCACATGGTGCTCATCTTCCAATGAGAATTGACTTCACTTGAATACAGCTTTCTCTCTCTGCTTGTCTCCTCCTGGTGTTATTGCCATAAAGAGTGCTGCATTCTCAGTTCACTCTTTGCTAAAATCTTATTACTTGGTAATTAAACTCCCTCCATGCTTATGGCTCTCCCCATTCCTGAAAGTTGAAAGAATACTGACGTTCTGCAACCTGTCAGCACCTTCTCACTATTTTGACAACCTCTCCCAAGATGTCCTCCACCCATGCACTCTTTTCCAAATATATTACTTTAAGTCATCTTATTTCTATTAACTACCCTCTACCCTCTTAAGTATTTGCACTCTGAATCATACTGCCCACTCAATGTTTCCCCAGCTTTTTTGTCTTTCTAAATAATGTTATCTCCCTATAAAATAGTCTTATGTTTTTTTGTCTGACTTGTGTTATTTCTGTTATTTCTTCTCCCTTTGTATTATTTTGCTGATATATACTTCAAGAAATGATGCACTCACAATTTTCCACCCAAACCTATAAAATATCAACTGCTTCCAACTTGTCTTTCAAGTGCCTTTTATTTATTTTTTTTTAAGAGGTGGAGGGGTCTCTCTCTCTCTCTCTCTCTCTCTCTCTCTCTCTCTCTCTCTCTCT